TGATACCTTTGTCCTATTTCCTCCTTTCTCTCCATTGTTGAGGTTTCCTGTTCATGTTTCTGTCTCCTCGTGTCCATACAGCTGAACCTCTTCGATGTCTCCGATGGCCAAAAGACGACCATTTTGAATTATTGCTCCTATGTGCAGTGGGTCCCGGGAAGTGACGTTGTGGTGGCACAGAACCGCAATAACCTCTGTGTCTGGTACAATATCGATTCTCCAGAACGGGTCACAATGTTCCCTATCAAGGTAAATTTGGGGTTTCTTGAGCTTTTTTATATGACCTTGTCCCTGGTAGAAGGCCAGAAATGTGACGCCCCGAGCCATCCCTCTCATCTGACCCGGAAGTGACTGCTCTGCTTTTATCCTTCGGGTGCTATTCTGCTATTCACATCTGTTCTGTGCCAAAGAAAGGCAGACAAAGGCAAAGGGCTAGTTTTCCAGTATTGCCTGTAGCCTGTCCGAAGCTGATCTTTTCCCCATTCCTGACTCCCCATGCCTTGGTCCGCACTGTGTGTCTTTGTACAGGCAGCCATCTTGGTACAGGAGCATGGCTTTGCTTCCTTATGTCACAGCTGCCTCTCCTGATGACGGGCAGGCCCGGGGCTACCGCAGGGCAAGTCATGCGGCCGCCTGAGGGCGCTGCAGGGTGAGGGCGGAAAAAACAGGGCATTTTGACAAGTACTTGTGCAAAAATGCACCTTGCCTGTGTAGGCAAGAATCCTAGCACCGGCCCTGATGACGGGTGATCTGATGATTGGTGGGGTAATGATGGAGGTAAGGGAAGAACAGATCCACAGATTGGATGAAGCAGTAGCAGGGAGACCCTTGCACTGCAGGTTCTGCGTCCTCTCCAGCGAGGAGAACAGTGATCAGCACAGTAGTGACGTCACCAAATCTGCTGAGAGCAGCAGTCAGAGGCGGCAGTGCCTGAGATGATCTCACACTTCAGATATACAACTATGAGGAAACAGAACAGGAGTGCCGGGGGCACAGGAAGTACTTCTATGTTATAAAGTGTATATTTTTAAGGGTACTACTTGGGGACAGTTAACTTTTTGGATGTTCTCTGTAAGATGGCAAATCTTTACTTTACAAATTCAGGTTCACTTTAGGGTTAGATGGTGGCTGGAGGATTGCCACATAAGCATGCCCGCCGCTCACATCCTGTACTAAGCACACCTCTGCACCGGCCTTATGAAAGTCAAATACTAATAATGTAAAATATCACGATGCCTTGATGGGCGGATGTCAGTCTGGAGGAGTGGGCGTCCTTGCAAGCTGTATCTGCATGCAGACCGCCCCTAGGTAACACCCACATGTGAGGCTGAGCCTCCATGATTAACAGAACTGGAATCCAATAAAAGGGGTGTCCAGAGACAGTCAGGCTGGGAAAGGGCTAGATCAGTGGTTCTCAACCTGTGGGTCGCGACCCAAAAGTGGGTCACCACCCACTGTTGACGGGGTCACCACATGCTTTGGGCTGCACTAGGTGAGAAGCTTCTCGGCCACCTCCTAGAGCAGAGGTGTCAGTTCTCCGGCCGCGCCGCTAGGTGGAGCTGCAGCACTGGCAGCCGAGGAGAATCAAAGCGAGGGGAGCGGGGGGGTAGTGAGGGGAGTTGAATGCCGGCTTGACCACCGCAGAGCCCACACTGGCCACCAGAGAGCCCACACTGGCCACCACAGAGCCCCATTGACCGCAAGAGAACCCATTGAGCACACATGAGCCCACACTGGCCACCTGAGAGCCCACACAGATACTAGTATTAGTGCATTCCTAAATTTTACCATTGGGGGTCACCATAACCTGGCAAATGTTACCAAGGGGTCCCAGCCCTAGAAAGGTTGAGAACCACTGGGCTAGATAATGCAGACATTTTACATCCCAGAAATAAGACGGCCCCATGTGACTTGCTGCAGTTTCTAAATCCAAATGAAGGGAAAAGAGCCGCACTCACCCCCTTTCACTAAAAATCACATCCTCATGCAGCTCTGCATGCTGATATAAAGCATCTTCCATTCATTAGTTAAACACACTTGTTTTTCATTTACCTACAAATAGAGTTCATCTACTTCCCGGTCCTCTTCTGGCACAAATGATGTCATCTGTACCCAAGAGTTGCATGCTGGGAAGGTGACATCAGCCGAGCATTGCTGGGAAATCTCATCTGTAATCTCAGGAGATCTCAGGGAAAGGATTCTTCCTCCCATGAGAGGATGTGCATGGTCACATGTCCTAGTCACATGTGCCAGAGTTCCAGGAAGTAAAGGGAGATGTAGTAATATCCACTTAGTAAACATGGCCGCCGTGAGAAGACTGGGGGAAGAAAAGAGAAATAAGGACTACAAAGCCGGAATGATCTAGAAGTATCTGTGTGTAGATTGTCATCACTAATCATTTCTAGAGGTGTGCTTGTTGTTATTTTACAGATATGGGTAAAGGTTCCACTTTAAAGGTGCCCATACACTGTACAATTCTCGTACGAGAATGGTGGGAAATCCCGCGATCGTACGAGCATCGTACAGTGTATGGAAGGCGTGCAACCGTTTTTACTGTACGGTCGCACGTCTTCCATCGAACAAGCAGGCTGGAAAACCCGCCGGGAATCGTACGATTCTCGGCGAGTGAGTGGCCTGCTGGTTCGACAACTGACGAACGGGCCGGTGTGCGCACGCGCACACTGCCCGTTTGCCGTCCTTGCAAGCCCGCCCCTCATTGCAGTCATCGCAAGTACCATCTGCCTGTCCAAGATGGGCAGTTTGTACGTTTTTTTAAGTACTTTACAACCATCGCAAGAATAAGGTCTTGCGATGGTTGTAAAGTGTATGGCCACCTTAAGAGTTTAATATAAGTTTGGGACACTTCTTAGATCATTTGGAAATCAATAAGAGGTGCAGTGGACCTGCTTCAGGTAGTTTTTTGCATTCCTATAGATTTGTATGGAAATACAAAAGCTCGCTGACACCGGCCCCTATAGGTTGCTCTTCCTTCTTCTGGATCCGCTAAAGTGTTATTACAGCCATCCCATGGGGGCGTCCCCATGTGCCTTGGGCTGCTCCAGGTAAGAGGCTCCTCAGCCTCCACCCAGCGCACAAGTGTCTGTTCTCCTAGATGGCCCTGCAGCAGCAGGAGAGGATCAGAGAGAGGGGAGCAGGCAGGAGGGGAGGTGAGTGCTTGATCCCCACAGAGCCCGCACTGGGCCCCACAGAGCCCGCACTGGGCCCCACAGAGCCCGCACTGGGCCCCACAGAGCCCGCACTGGGCGCCACAGAGCCCGCACTGGATGCCACCAGAGAGTCCCACTAACCAACTGAGAGCCCGCAGAGCCTCCTGAGAGCCCACACAGGTACTAGTATTGGTGCATCACTCAATTTTACGTTTGGGGGTCACCACAACTTGGCAAATGATACCAAGGGGTCCCGGCCCTAGAAAGGTTGAGAACCACTGGGCTAGGTGGATGACGTGTCTTCTTCTCACTACAATAGGGGGACATTGTGGACCTGGTGAGAAATGAAGGAAAGACTGAAGTGACTGTCACTGAAGGGGTTAATACGATATCGTACACCCTGGACGAAGGCCTCATAGAGTTTGGTACCGCCATTGATGACGGAGACTACTACAGGTACAATGTCCGCTCTGCCCCGGCTCCCATAGGGCTCCAAGTACAATGTTATTCTAGGGAATGGAAGTATTCCATCAGTCTATGACCAATAACACTCATCATCCTCCTCTCCACGGTACACAGAGCTGCAGCTTTCCTGGAGACTCTGGAGATGTCCTCAGAGACCGAGGCAATGTGGAAGACCCTCAGCAAACTGGCCCTGGAGGGCCACCATCTGCATGTGGCCGAGAGGTGAGTGGGCAGCTTTTGGTGGAAGTGGTAGTGTTGGGAGGTCTGTACTGGGATATGTTATGTGATGGAAGTGGTAGTGTTGGGAGGTCTGTACTGGGATATGTTATGTGATGGAAGTGGTAGTGTTGGGAGGCCTGTACTGGGATATGTTATGTGATGGAAGTGGTAGTGTTGGGAGGCCTGTACTGGGATATGTTATGTGATGGAAGTGGTAGTG